GGGAAGGCCCTCTTAGTGGTGTACATGAACGATCCGGTGTTGGTGGAGAGCTCCATCCAAACTATGGAGCAGTTCCTTGCCGAGGACAAGTACCAAGTGGTCGGCTTCGACCTTGATTACACCATCGGTCGTGCCGGGCATGATCAGAAGGTTGTCATCGCTCAGTTGCCCGTGCGACATGACGTCCTCGTCTACCACTACCACCTGGCCACAAGGCCTTGCGAGCGTTTCCCCAGTTTTATCAAGAGCTCCGACTACGAGTTCGCTGCGGTGGACACCGCCAATGATCTAAAGGCACTCAAGGTTTCGGGCTTGAAATGCCCGAATCTTGTCAACATCCTGGACCACTACAAGGTCTGGGGCAGCGCCAAGAACAAACTAAAATCCCTGGTTGACCTCGCCTCGGCCATCATCGACCCCTACTACATGAAGATGAAGGATGAGAGCAAGAAGGACAAGGACACCTGGCACAGTGTTTGGCATCAGAGACTGGATGAAGAACACATAAAGTACGTGACCAATGACGCATACACAAGCTACGAGATGTACAGGCGGATCGTTGACATGAGGAAGTGTCTTGTTCAAGACCCAGCCGAGGGATCGAGCCATAGAGCAATGGCGGGAGCGTCACAAGAAGTAGATGACTAGACGATTGTTTCTCCTACTTTAGAATGCATGCAATTGTTTATTGAGGTGTGTGCGAATGATCTGTATAGTCACTTATTGTTTCTCCTACATGTTATTCTTCTATAGACAGAGCAAATCACACGGCTTATTAGCAGTAATCGTTTGTGTTACTATTGTTCTTCGCACACATTTCTGATCACGGACTTGTTTGCCGTTGTGTTGCACAATAAAGGCTGCAAAGAGGGATCCACAACATCAAGGACCAGCTTCCCTATTGATAGCTCATCTAACAGAACTCCCAAGTTAAGTGTGCTGAGGCTGGAGTAGTCATGAGATGAGTGACCAGATGGGAAGTGGACTCAATATTAACTAGTTGGATGGGCAACTGCAAAGGTTTATTATACACCTTTGTATTATAAACCTTTGTACTGACCCATCCCATCTAGTTAATATCGAGGTCTTTGTTTTGTAATTTTTGACATTTTTTTTCTGAACACATGTTGATTGACTTGAAGAAGGTCTATCACGTTACTTTTTGATAATTGTTTATACGCAAGCAACTAGTTTGCATTTTTCAAAGTTTTTTGTACGAACAGAATCACACATGAACTTACTATAGTAATCGTCCGTGTTATAATTTCCCATCGCAAATAGTTCATCCGAGTGGGCTGTTTGCTGCGTATCACACACATCTGGTTTACACGAATCGTTTGTGTTCTTTTGGCTCATTGCAAATGCCGCATATCACACACATCTTGTTAAGATGAACCGTTTCTGTTCTCTTGCCTAATCGAAAACAGTTTGTCTAAGTGAATCGTATGCCGTATATCACACACACCTTGATCTGGCTGATCATTTCTCTTGCATTCCCTAATAGCACGCAGTTCATCGGAGGGAACTGTATGCCATATATCGCACACACATTGATATGGCCTTCTGTTGCTCTTCATCATCGCAAACAATTCTGCTGGATCAACCATATGCCCTGTATTGCACATGCAACTAAAATCGGAACCGTGTTTGATGCATCGATCATCGCAAACGTTTTGGACATTTTTTATGGTTCTCTGACACCACCATTTGTGATTATTGCATCGCACACAGTTTCTCGAAGGGTCTCTGATCATAGTGTCACATTATCACCATCTTGCAGTAGTGTCAAGTTGTTCCCTTGCGTGTGAGCTTGCGCCACACTGAGCTAGGCTTGTTGGAAACTGCCGATTCAAGGGTTTCCAAAGAGCCAGGCTCTGGGCTACTTTAAGGTTCATGTCAATGCAAGCCATCCCACCCCATATGCAACCAATCACACTTTTTTGGGCCCAACTCATCCTAATTCAGCCTAATGCGGGCAACCAAACACGCCTAAAGGCTGCTACTGATGTCTACTATGCAACTTTATTCTTGCAGACACGTGTTGGGCCACCAAGCACAGATTTTTGTAGGGCGGTAGCAATTTTTTCCCTCAAGTGGATGCCCTAAGGTTTATCAACCCGTGGGAGGCGTAGGATGAATATAGTCTCTCTCAAGCAACCCTGCAATCAAATACAAGAAATTTCTTGTGTCCCCAACACACCCAATACAATGGCAAATTGTATAGGTGCACTAGTTCGGCGAAGAGATGGTGATAAAAGTGTAGTATGAATAGTAGATATAAGTTTTTGTAGTGCGAACTATAAAAAACAGCAAGGTAGTAAGAGATAAAATGGAGCACAAACAGTATTGCAATAATAGAAAATGAGGCCTGGGGTGCATACTTTCACTAGTGCAATCTCTCAACAATGCTAACATAGTTGGATCATATGATTATCCCTCAAAGTGCAATAAAGAATCACTCCCGAATTCCTATTAGCGGAGAACAAAAGATAGAAATTGTTTGTAGGGTATGAAACCACCTCAAAGCTATTCTTTCCGATCAATCTATCCTAGAGTTCGTACTAAAATAACAGCAAGTTATTCTTTCCATTCGATCTAATCAAGAGTTCGTAATAAAATAACACCATGTGATGCATATCAACCAACTCTAATGTCACCTAGATGCCCCAATGTCACCGTGAGTACCCATGAGTTCATTATACGATATGTATCAAACAATTTCAGATTCATAATACTCAATCCACACAAAGAACTACAAGGAGACCCCAAAGTTTCTATCGGAGAAAAGATAATAAAAACGTGCATCAACCCCTATGCATAGATTACCCCAAGTTCACCTCGGGAATTCGCAAGTTGAGTGCCATAACATATATCAAGTGAATCAAAATAATACCCCATTGTCATTCATATGCAAGACAAATATCATGTGTTCTCAGATCTGAACATTCAATCCGACAAGACAAAACTTCAAAGGGTAAAGACTCAATTCATCACAACAAGAGTAGAGAGGGGAGAAACATCATATGATCCATCTATGTTAACAAAGCCCATGATACATCAAGATCGTGACATCTCAAGATCGCGCGCGAGAGAGAGATTAAACACATAGCTACAGGTACAAACCCTTTGCCCCGTGGGTGGACTACTCCCTCCTCATCGTGGTGGTCACCGGGATGATGAAGATGACCACCGATGATGATTCCCCCCTCCGGCAGGGTGCCGGAACGGGCTCCTGATTGGTTTTTGGTGGATACAGAGGCTTGCGGCGGCGGAACTTCCGATCTAGGGTCTCCCCGAGGGTTTTTGAAATATTTGGGAACTTATAGGGCGAAGAAGGGGTACGGGAGGCCACCGAGGTGGCCACAACCCAGCAGGGTGCGTCTGGGGGCCCAGGCGCGCCGTGGTGGGTTGTGCCCCCTCGGGGCACCCCCAGGTGCTGCTCTGGCCCAATGGTTCTCTTCTGGTCCATAAAAAATTCACAAAAAGTTTCGAAGTGTTTGGAGAACTTTCATTTCTGCATAAAAAAACAACACCACAGTAGTTCTGCTGAAAACAACGTCAGTCCGGGTTAGTTCCATGCAAATCATACCAAAACCATATGAAATTATTATAAACATGGCATGAATACTACATAAATTATAGATACGTTGGAGACATATCACCTAACATCCTACGAACAGCACGTCGACCGAGACTTTGCTAAACGTTAGTCGACTCAGGTTTAATAAAGCCGATTATCTTTTGAGATGGGGCGTTGTTGCTAGAGAAATTTCGAGAGCATGGTGTGAATTCGGCGCGCTTGTGTTGGTTGCTATTTGACGAATGTCTGAGCTTCAAAAATTGGTGGAGTAATTGTCCAGATCTACTATGTCATTGTAAGAGCATCTACATCAGGAATGGGCAAATCCGGACCCTTAAACACCCGCAGACACACCCGGCGCGTCCGCGGGCACTGACCCGACACTCCTCAAATCATGTCGTCCAAATCCGTGTATCTCACATCCGATACCCTATATCCATACTAAGTATGCAACATGGAACTAAACAACGTAGATCATCAAACATACATAAATTTGGACATAGAAATGCACATTCCGATCACCAACGAATCTCCAAAAGATGGCCAAAGTTCACATAATTCACATAAACGACGGACAATTTTAAACTAGATTACTAAAAACTTGAAATTAAAGACGGAGAAGATGGAGCTTCACAACTTCCTCGTCGTGCCTCTGCCCTTCCGGTCACCGGCGCAGCTGTAGGCGTCCGCGACTGGTGGAGGATCTTGGTCTTCCGAGGAGAAGGTGTTGTTGTCGCGGTCGCGGTCGCCGGCACGGGACCTGCGACGACGCTCCTGATCCGGAGCTGCCGCCGGTGTCCACCTTGGACATCCCCAACGCAATGCGGAGGGCCATCTCCTCCTTGTAGTCAAGCTCAGAGCTGGAGTCGCTGCCAGAGCTGGACATTAGAGTGGATGGAATCGGAATCGAAGAGGGAAAGGAGAGGACGGAGCGAGAGAGAGTGACCTAGGGTTCGGAGCGAGGCCTCCGGATTGGGGTTATTGTGGGACAAACTATGGGGTCGGTGGTGGGCCGGGCCTGTCAGGCGGACGCGCCTGGGCGTGCCCTGGCCGCCCCATATCCGCCCTATATTTAGGCTGGATATGGGGGGTGTTGGTCAGCGAGACGTTTGTCGGTGGTTTGAGAGGTCCGATTGGATTTTTTCGCAAAAAAAACCTGATTGTTTTTTTTAACCTGTCAATGACCGGACGGCTATTAGAGGCCGGCTGTAGATGCTCTACCTGCCTAGATCTACTACGTCACTGTAACCACACATTCCGGAGTGAAGAAAATCCATCTCTCCCGCGTTTAATCCCAACCTCACACTCGAACGGTAAGAGAGTCTAGCAAGTAAGTACAGAAGACGCCAAGGCCAAACAAGTGGCTGTGCCACTCCTCTGCCCCTAGACTGTTGGCCCGGCCGGAGCTCCGGCAAAAGGAATGGCCCTGCTGCACCCCGCCCCGGCTACTTCCCTCCCCACCTGCCATCACCGCCAGAACGCCGGCGTGCTCATCCAGCAGCCATCCCGCCGCCGTTTCCGGCTGAACGCGCAGAGAAAGCCCGGGTCCACGTCCACGAGCCCGCGCACCGGCACGCCCTCCGGCTCGGAGTCGGACAACGTGGTCCTGAAGGCCGCCTGGTACGGCTCCGAGGCCCTCGGCATCGCCGCGTCTTTCTTCCGGCCGCCGTCTCCGGAGGCGGACGCCGGTGCTGCAGACGACGGCACGTCGGAGTCCCAGCCCGTTGGCCGCGCGCAGGTCGCCGAGGCCATCAAGGATGACTTCGCGCGGTCATACTTCGTCACAGGTCAGGAATTAAGCTCCACGCGTTTTATTATACTACTGCACGTTTGCCGTTTGCTTACGTTCGTACTGCAGGGAACCTCACGCTCGGGGCGTACGAAGACGACTGCGAGTTCGCCGACCCGGCGGGTTCATTCAGAGGCCTGCAACGCTTCAAGAGGAACTGCACCAACTTCGGGTCCCTGCTGGAGAAGTCCAACATGAAGCTGACCAAATGGGAGGATGTCGAGGTACATTTCCCGCGTCAGTCAATCGATCTTTACAGCAGCGAAGTGGTGAGTTGTTTTCGCCGATTGATCGACTTTGCTGGGTCTGGGTGCAGGACAAATCGATCGGGCACTGGCGTTTCAGCTGCGTCATGTCGTTCCCGTGGAGGCCCATTCTCTCCGGTAAGTTCACGGCTACGCGCTCTGTATCTGTATCAGCAGACCGACACCGCGTTTGGCCCGGCCGGTGCAAAACTGCAAAATGCATCGCTCCTGTACTGAACATGTTTTCAGTACTGCATGTTTTTGGTCTCATTGTACCATTTTTCACTTTTCAGCAACCGGGTACACGGAGTACTACTTCGATGCCGAGTCGGGGAAGGTGTGCAGGTACTCACTCACTCCGTCGTTCCAGGAGCTTATCGTGTGCACGAGATGCATGCGTTGCGAGTCTGGTGCTTGACAGATACAGTTGGGTTTTTGTTCAGGCATGTCGAAAACTGGAATGTCCCCAAGATGGCGCTCCTGCGGCAGATATTCAGGCCGAGCAGATGGGTATGGGAGAAAGAGAAACGCTAGAACGTGAGCGAAGATCCGTCCGCCTATGCTCAGGTCACGTCAGGAGGGCAAAGGGGCGTGGCGAGTTTGTTGCCTCCTTTGTTGTTCGTTTGGTACTCACAGAGTGTAATCTATTCGAGTTCCATATGATCAAATCTCAAAAGAGCCCCATCAGCAAATCGCTTAGACTCTATAATAGTGGAGTACACCACATCGTACTAGGCCAGGATTTTATTTTTTTTTATAAAATTCAGACTCTTTCATCATCGTTTTTTTTTTGAGTTCATCATCGATTTTCTTGGAAACCTATGGAATTCTGGAAACTTCTTGACCTCGACCGAATCGTGCTATAAGTTGTCCCGGCCCACTGTTCTGAATAGAGGCCCGGCCCATACTGGACAGTCACGGCCTTTTAGGGTTTCCTCGCGGCACGCCTTTATAAATAGGAGATCAGGCGAGTGTTTCAGGGCAAGCACAACTGGCGGCGTCGGCCGTCGACTGCAGTAGCCGCCACCTCTCCTCGGCTCCCAATTCCATTGCTTCTGTAAATTTTCTACGCTCCTTCGATTTTGCTTTGCGCATCTCGCTTTTTTCACTGTCGCCATGGCGTATGTATCAAAGGATGAGCAAATACTGCAACAATATGATCCATGATCTGATTCTTAGTATTTAAGTCTCTGATGATCTCTCTGCCGTTGCGATTTCTCTCTATTGTTTTTCGTTTCTGCATATCTGGGATGTGATGAAGAAAAGTTGGTCCGTGTTTCTGATTTCTTATGACTGATTACCATACTTAATAGACTTCTGATCCCTCGTTTTTTGTTCTTCCTTTTTCTATTTTATTTCTAAGATCCATGCCAATGCGATGATGAATTATGAATTTTCGCATGTCAGACTTCAGAGATGCCTCTGGCGTCCATGAGATGACGTATCATATGACTGAGCAATGTATTACAATGGTTAATTGTTTCTGCAATGCCTCGCTTGTTCCTTACAACTGTCAACGCTTTTGCAATTATACACGTTGGACATAACAATAAGACAATGTGTGCCGTTTTATCCACATCGGATGAACTGGTCTGAACTTTAAATGGAAGTGAGGACCCTTTCCCCAAATGATCGACTATGATTATACTGTGCGCAACTGTAATCCTTTATCAGAGGATTCCAAGCCAGAAGTCTGATCCATCTTGCTTAATGTATTTTATCTTTCAGATTTGTGTTTGTTTCATTTATCACAAGTTGAATGGATATGAGGATCCTTTCCCCAAATGATCGACTATGATTATACTATGCGCATATGTAATCCTTGTCAGAGGGTTCCAAGCCAGAAATCTGATCCATTAGTTTATCTTTTATATTTTTCTTTGCTTGTGCCATGTCAGATTTGTGTACTTGTTTTCGTTCTTGTGTTCTTGTTGCATAAATTTGAGGAGGATCTGCGCTCAATGTATTAATTCCCTACAATTTATATCGTTGGACCTGAAAAATAATTGTTGTTGCATAAATTTGAGGAGCATTTGCGCCCAATGCAATAATTTCCTACAATTTATATCGTTGGACCTAAAAAATGCTGTCTTGTCCAATATGGCAGACACAGATATTTACTCCCATGTCTGGATGTATTAAAGGGTTGAGAGAATACCGGAGCAATGGTTTGTCTGGTTTTGATTCCTGGCAATGTAGCACAGCTACTGATAAGGTCGTCATTATAGGTTGCTGTTAGTGGTTAATGCTCAGGTCACAGCTCTGTAGTGGTAATCGAGTTTAGGTGTATTGATGCTGTGCTTACTGATTATGTAGTTATTTTATTTATACATACTTGTAGTGTCTTTTAATAGTAGAAAAGAGCTTCACCTTTTAAAGGTGCAAGCGTCTGTAACCAATATTTATCTACAGTTATGCTCATTGATCATCTGCTAGATTATAATGAGTAGTTATATCTTTATTCTTCTAAATTATGCATCATTCTGAAGTATGGCGTGTACCTTAAACTTGTTTTTGCAGCATTGTTCTGTGCATTGGATTATTGCTTCTGGTTCTATCTGCTCTGCATATGAATTTGTATGCTTTGTTCTTTGTTGCCTTTGCAGGATAAGTGTGTATCGGTTAAATGCCTTATGCTGTGCATTTCTTGCCGAAAGTTTTTCCTGCAATATTAATTTGAGGAAAGTGGGCAGTTGGGCTGAGCTTGATAATCTCTTTTGCCAACAATCATTTTCCTCCCATTATTCTTAAAATGCGATAAGGTCACAAAATAGATGTTTTGTGCTGGTCCAGACCTGATCTGTGTTAAACTTTAGAGACCTAATATTGTTCATGCTTGGCCGGTGATGAAAAAACTTTTAATCATACCATCTTTCGGGACTGATTGGTCGCTGTGCGTCCATGCTGTTATTCTGCAATTCTGAGGCCAAATCGAACACCTTTTTATTGTTGTAGTATCAATCAGTATCGTTTCTTTCCTTTTTCTCATAGATGAAGATATGCACTGGGTTCCGAGTAGCTTACATTTCTGCAATCTGCTGGAGATGCATTTGCCAAGAAAGCATCGTCAGTCCTAGGCTGCATTGTACCAAGGCTAGTGTTCTTTGTACCCTTGTTTTGCTTGCCAGATTTGGCTGTAGTCAAACCAACATGGAAGGAAATCTGGTCGGCCTGCCCGCTTCAATGGGCAACCCGCTTACCAACCTTCATACATGTCTTGTCATCATATAGCTGGTCTTTGCTAGTTTTTTGCATCTTATAGTTAGATTGGCACAATGTGCATCATTCTGCCACCCAGTGCGTTGCAACCCATCTGAGTCCCCACCACCGTGGAGGCAGCGTGCACATCAGGCGGTTGCTCCAACACTTCTTGAAATTTGAAGTTAATCTATCGGTTGATTTGAATTTCAAAATTGGATGGTGGCTATAAACAGTAAAGCAAATCCATTAAGTGTTTGTGCATGACGGACTGCCAACCTCTCAGGCTGTTCATGTGTCGGGCCTTCTTGGAGGGATTCACTGCAAGCAGCAATGCAGCTAACACCTAACCAATCCATTCACTGCAAGCAGCAGTTGATAGTTGCTGAAGATGGAAATAGGAGGGGTAGGTTGGAGAATTCCATCTAACCAAAGATAGATAAAATTCCAATTTTGTTGCCGTCCCCAATGCCCCATGAGACATCTTGTTTTAGAACATGAAGGTGGGTGACGACGCATTCCAAGAATCACAGAGAACCAGGTGCCGATGCATTCCAAGAATCTCCTTGAGAACAAATCCAACTCCGAGACCCCTTTTTTTTTGTTCGTTTGTTTTTGTCTGGTTTTTTAATTCGGTTGGTACGTGCATAAAAGCGGTGGACACCGCAGCCCAGTGGAGCAGAGGTCACGGCGAGCTGGGTTAGTGAAAGGCCACGGCGAGCACTGCATTCTAGCATCGCAGCAGCTAGCATGCGGTTGTGCATTCTCGCACGTATGCACCATTGTCCCCGGTGGGCAGCCCGTGCCGTGCCGGAGAAGACCAAAAGCCGGCGGGTTGTGTTCGTGATTTCCATCGTAAGAAGATAGACTTGTAGAAGTCTAAAAATTGGGAGCAAAGGAAGAGGCAGGCTGAGCTGACTCTTTTCAAAATCATTCTCGTGATGTGTGGTTCAAAGAGAATATTCTTGTGGTAGCTTGATCAATTTCTGTAAGAACGAAGCTAGTGATATTAAAGATTAGGGACCTACGCAAGCTGGCATCTGCCGGTGTGGGCGTGCGCTTTGTGTCTGCCTCCGACCGTAATGTCAAATTTGGGATGAAATGGGTTCAAATGGACATGTGGACAAAATGGATCGGCTGTTTGTAGTTGTTCAGAGTTGGCGCCAATATTGTCGCCCAAGCATGACTCCCATACCAGAGGATGTGAGCCATTCCCATAACCACCAGTGCATCTTTTTCCTCCATTTTATCTTCCCCACCAGTCGCCAGCAATGAGTGGACGAAGTTGCTCACATATAGAAATAGGAAGTTGGCAACAACTCATCACAAATACAAATGTGAATCGTCTGTATCAGAGATTTCAACATAGGAAGATTAGACCAACCGTGAACTCGTTGCCATGCCCTATCAAGAGGCCACAATAGGCCGCCCACTGTGATGAGCGGTGACAATGTCTTGTCGGTGCTGTTTCTCCTCCTCCCTTGGTTGGGTGTTGGGCGGGGTTGTACTATGCTCTTCCACTGGTTTTGGTGTGAGATGCTTGATTCGTCAATGAGGGCACCTAGATGTGTGGCTTAGGTCGTCACATATCGGTCCCACCGAGTGGATTCATCCACTCTCATTGAAATGGCTAACATTCGAATTTTTTGCATTAGGTTGTGCCTTTGAGTTTTTCTTTTGGTTCCATCGAGTTTTGCATAAAGGTATGTAATAGCTATATCTTTGGTTATGGCTATATATATATATACCGCACCCACACAACCTACTCTTAGAGGGAATAACCAGGAAGAATCCTCCACTTCGCATATCCATTTTCTCAGAGAGAACGGCCTACATTGTTGAGATCAAGGGATTTCACTCTAACCATTTGATTCTTGATTTCTAGCCCCCTCAAGTTGTCTTCCACTCCAATTCTTCTCCCACCCACAGGCCAAATCTGTGAGAGAGTGATAGAGTGTTGAGGAGTCTTTTAAAGCACAAGAGCAATGAGTTCACATCAACATCTATTACCTTTTAAATAGGGACTTTTATAACTACCAAACGTTCGGATTTTAGCAATAGGCAAGAACAATCCTTACTTCACTCTAATTATATACATGCAAGCATTAGAATGACTAATTTTTCTTTCATGTGCACTCCTCTAATTCCATGCATATATGCACTAAAGAACGAAAAGCTGATGTCATCCTAAATTCTTTGTTTTTTCAAACTTCAAAATTTTTGTAGCTCAAACTGTCGCCCCGACTGAAAACCCGTCTTCACAAAAAAAAACGTCTTGACGAGATCTTCGAAACTAGATCCCATGTTGATATGTTCTAATGAAAATTTTTTCATAC